GGCTTCTGCCTCCTGAGTACTGAGATTACAGATGTGTGAAGCTACAACCATTTTTTTATTTTATTAATTCTTGTAGAATTTCATATATGCCTATAATGAATTTTGATCATATTCACCTTACGCTCCTCCCAGACCCGCCCCAACCTCCTCAACCCCTCCCAACTTTGTGTTCTCTCTCTCTCTCTCTCTCTCTCTCTCTCTCTCTCTCTCTCTCTCTCTCTCTCTTCCCCCCCTCCCCCTCATAGCCTGCTGATTCTAATTTGTGCTGCCCATATACTCATGGGTGTGGAGCTGTCCACTGAAGCATCATAAACCTTCCAGGAGCAACAACCTGACTCTCTCACCCCTGGCAGCCAGGCAGTCATCACTGCCAATAGCTCCTCCACTGGAGGCAGGGGCTGGTGATTCCCTACCCCTCCACGTTGGAATGTTGACTGGTTTGATCTTGTACAGAGCCTGTGGATGCAACTACAGTTTCGGTGAGTCACGGGTGCATCGGTTTTATCCTGTCCAGAAGACACCATTTCATCCAGGTCCCCCCTGACCACTGACTCTTATGACCTTTTTGCCTTCTTTTCACAGCTGGTCCTTGAGCCTTGTAAGGAGTCATAACATGTCCTACCACGACTGTGGTTGCATGGCTTAGGGATTGACCTAACTAGGGCGACTGGGGAATGAAGAAGAACAGACACCCATGCATAAAAGCTGGGCTCTGGTAGGCAATAATGTGCTCTGATGGAGAGGCACCAGCAGCAGCATGGAAACTCATTGCATTAGTATTAGACAACCAAATCGAGGAGGCCTGTTGTTATGTACAGCTGAACAAAGAGGACAGTTTAGCTAACCTTGGTAGGAGGTCTCTGCAGGGAAGCAGTTTCACCTTGCAGTCATCCTGGAGGAGGACATTTGATGTGGGTTGTCTTTCTGTATGCTGTAAATATGTGTTGCTCTCATTGGTTGATTCAATAAAGTTCCTTTGGCCTATGACAAGGCAGGATAGAGCCAGGAAGGACATCCAAGCAGAGGTACAGGAGAAGAAGGGCTGAGTCTGGGAAACACCATCCACCTGGCCAAGGAACAACATGCCAGTAGACCAGTAATGCCATGGCCACATGACAATACTTAGATTAATGGAAATGGGTTAATTTAAATGTAAGCACTAGCTAGTAACAAGCCTGAGCCATTGGCCAAACATTTATAATTAATATTAAGCCTCTGAATGGTTATTTGGGAACTGACAGGTGGGAAAGAAACTTCCAATTACAGAATTCAGGTTGATAGTTTTTGTATACACTGGTCAATAGTCGGTAACATTCATGATTGGGCCAGAGGAAGGCTTTACCATTCTTATGGGTCTGAGGCACTTGGGGTACTTGACATAGTTGTACTCATATCAATAATACACATTCACTCAGGTTGTTATCCATTCCCTACAATGTCCTATTTGTAGCTGAGCATTCCATGACACGTGCTCTCTGCATGTGGACCAGTTTTGAGTTTCTGTATACAAGTAGTTTCATTGGTCATTTTTCAGTAAATGTTTCATGTTACCAAACATGTTCTCCTTCAAGAATATTTTGTGCCTTTGTGGAATGAGGACAACATTAGTTCTTTTGCCCAAAGCTACCAGTTCCAAAAAGCTGGCTGCCTCTTGGAAGACTCCAGAACACCATCTCTGCTTATGTTTATGAACTCCTCCAGGATGCCTTCCTTTATCTGTCACAAGCTTAGATAGGAATGCTAAGATCTTGGGCCAGTGAAATCTGGGTTTGACGTCAGCTTCTGTCCCCAGATGGTTCATTCATTACTTGAGCAGTATTCTGAAGGTGACTTCTTCCGTGGTACCCAAACCCATCAATCATTCTGAGGGGAGTGCTAGCTCTTGCATGCTGTGAAATGAAATCCTCCTATGACTAACTGAAAAACAGGAAAAGCAAGAGACTAAGAAAGTATAAGATGGGGGTGCATTGTATGGAATTCCCAAATAATCAATTGAGATGTTATGTTGGGGGAAAAAATAGAGGGAAAAAAAGAAAGTATAAAATGCTTGTTTGTTTGTTTGTTTGTGTTTTGAGACAGGGTTTCTCTGTTTTGCCATGGCTGTCCTAAAACTCACTCTGTAGACTAGGCTGGCTTTGATCTCACAGAGATCTGCCTGCATGTGCCACCACACGCTGCATATATGAAATGCTTTTAAACATTCCAGGATAGGGAAAAGAAATTGTTTCCTTGGATTGAGTCTGTCTGCTGAGGTGGGGAAATGTGGGACTTGTGAGCAATCATACAAGTCAAGGTGGTAAAAAGATAAAGGCATACTTTCCTCTTTGGGTCCATTCTCTGCAATAAACTGTCATTTGTCTTTGGTTCTCAGGTATAGTTTATAATGGCTTTTGCTTTCTGTTTAAATAACACCATGACTCAATAGCATCTTATCAAACATTATTGCCACTAAAGGCATTGCCTTACTGTACACTCAAGTATAGTTTAATGACACCCCAGTATAATACCGCACACTGATGTGCCTTAGTTATGGTTATTTTATTCCTAATTAGCACATTAATTTAGCCTTCTCTATTTCACGTGCACTTGTATTCCTTTTAAAAGTTATTTTCCCCTTTTATTTAAAGTAAATGAGGCATTGTGTGTTTGCATTGTATCTATTAAGCACATAGCTTATGCAGTTCTCATTCATTATACAAAGAGTGACTAGCAAATTGCCTGGCACATTTTTTAAAAATACCTTTATTGAGATATAATTCATATACCATACAATTCTCTTACTTAAAATGTGAGATTCAGCGGCTTTTAGTAGATGCGGAGAATTGTGAAAGCGTCAGCACAAGCAATTTGAGAACATTTCCATTACCCCAAAAAGGAACTGTACACTCCTAAGCCATCACCACCTCAAACCCACTTCCCGGTCCAAGCAAATACTCACGCATTTTCTCACTCTAGAGAGATGCCTATTCTAAATCTTTCATGCAAAAGGAATCATACAATGTGTGCGGTTTGGTGACTAACTTCTTTGATGAAGCATAATGTTTTCAGGGCTTATTTATGTTGTAACAGGGATAGGTACTTAGGATGGTTGTTAGTCTTTAATGGTCAACTTGAGAGTCACCCAGCGAAGAGAGTCTCAGTGAGGAATCGTCTAGATCAGATTGGCCTCTGGGCATGTCTATCGAGGATAGTCTTGGATGCCTCAATTGATATGGGGAGACCCAGCATATTGTGAGTATCATCGACTTCTGGTTTGGAGCCCTGGACTGTATAAGAATAGGAAAAGATATCTGGGCAAGAGGCATGCCTGCATTCATTTCTCTGCTCTTGATTGTGGATGTGATGTGACAAGCTGCCTCAAGTTCCTGTCTTGACTTCTCTGTGCTGATAGACTATAACCTGGAATTGTGAACTAAAATAAAGCCTTGCTTTTCTAAGTTGCTTTTTGTCAGGGTATTTTATTACAGTCACAAAAATGAAACTTGGACAGTACTTCTTCTTTTTTTTTTAAATCACCAAATAATGGTCTATTGTACAGAGAGACCTTATTTTAGTTATCCATTTATCAAGTAATGGTCAATTAAGAGATTTCTGCTCTTCATCTATTATGAATGAGGCTGTTACAAACATTCATGTAAAGTGTCTCTGGAGACAAATGTTTTCATTTCTCTTCCATCCTTCCTTCCCTGTTTCCCTCCTTCCTTCCTTCTTTCTCTCCTTCCTCCCTTCCTTTCCTTCTTTCTTTCTTCGGTTTTTGAGACCGAGTCTGGCTATATAGCCCAAGCTATCCTTGAACTTGCATTCATCCTCTTGCCTTGGCCTCCAGTACTAGGATACAGGAACGCACCACTGATCCTAGCCTTGTTTTTATTTCTCTTAAATTAAATGCCTAGGAATAGAGTTGCTGGCGTCTACAGCACCTCCATGTTTAACTATTGAAGAAACTCTTTTATTTTGTTTTGATGAGTGGCTGCATGTGTCATTTTATACACTCATTAGCAGTATACAGTACTTCAAATTTCTTCACACCCTCAACAACACTTTTCAGTGTCTATAAATACACACACACACACACACACACACACACAATGGTACTAGGGGTTGAACCAATGGCATTGTTGTATGTTAAATCATTGAGCAATGACCCTAGCCCCTCCCTGGGAGATTCTAGGCAAGTACTCTACCATTTTGCCACCCTTGGTGCCCCACTGGGTGATTATAGGTAGGTTCTGAGCTATATTCCCATCATCCAGACTTAAAAAAAGTTTGATACACAGTGTTCCTAAACTGCCCATTCCTTCTAGCATTCCCAGACAAGTCTTCAACTTTCAATCCTCCTGGCTCAACTTCCTAGCTGGGATTATTGGTGTGTACCACCATGCCCAGTTTTATTGTTTTTTTAGTTATAGTCATGCCTGTAGATATATAATGGTATCTGATGGTAACATTTTTGCTTTTATCTTGAGGGTTCCAGGATCTTACCCAGGCCAACCACATACTCTCTACACTGAGTTCCATGCTCCTATTCCTGACTGTTTTTTTTTTTAAATAGGAATACATTGATAGATTAATACAAGGGTAAGAACAAATATTCTGATTTTCTAGGACTCAATTGGCAATTGTAGATTGCCAACCATAACTCCAGTTCCAGGGGATGTGATGCCCCCTTCTGACCTCTGCAAGCACTGAGCACACACACACATGGCACACATACATAAATGCAGGCCAAAACACCCATCAAATAAGAAAATGAATAAATCTAATTTTAAAAAGAGGCATGCGCCGGGCGGTGGTGGCGCACGCCTTTAATCCCAGCACTCGGGAGGCAGAGCCAGGCGGATCTCTGTGAGTTCGAGGCCAGCCTGGTCTCCAAAGCGAGTACCAGGAAAGGCGCAAAGCTACACAGAGAAACCCTGTCTCGAAAAACCAAAAAAAAAAAAAAAAAAAAAAAAAAAAAAAAAAAAAGAGGCATGCGTTGAATAATGCATGATAAATGGCAGCGCTTATTAGGAGGAATGGATGATGGACTATCTTTTCGGTGGGGTGGGGAATACTGGCTTTAAACCCAGAGCATTGTAGTGTCAGGCAAGCGTTCCACCACTGAGCTCTTTTTACTTAGTTAATACAGTTCCTACATGTGCCAATGCGCTCCTCTTTTGCCATGAACTAGCTATGAAGCCACATGTTCTTTTCAAAGACCTGAGGTGTATTATTACAGCCTTTGGATCCCACAGAAGCACTGGTACAAACACCACTTGGCTTCATTCTGCACCAAGCAACAGGAAAGCAATCTGAGATCGGCACATGTTGGGCAGTCAGGATGGTGGTGGCTTTTGAAAGGACGATGCTTAGTAGCGTGAGAGGGCTGAGACTCGGCTGGATGGTGTTAGGGGCTGATCCAGTCAGAATCCTATGAACTCTAGGGTCACAGAACACACAGACACCTCACAAGTTACCTGGTCTGGTCCCTCCTGCACTGGAAACTTGTCTCCAGTAGGACCCTAAGAGATGGCACCTCCTGAGACAGTCCTGGTGACGGGAACCTTTTTCCTATGGGGGATTCTGTTTCACTCCTGGAAGCCTCTGGTCCCACCAGGTATGGCGGTGCTTATCTGTAATTCCAGCATTCTGCAAGTTGAGACGAGATGATTGTGAGTTCAAGGGATACACGGAGAGACTGTGGAAGAACAAAACAAAACAAAAAACAACAGGTGTGGTGGTTCGAGCCTGTAACTCCATCACTTGAGAGGTGGAAATGGGAGAATCATGAGTTCCAAGTCATCGTCAGCTGCGTAATGAGTTCCAGGCTAGCCTGGACTACATGAGACTTTGTTTCAAACAAACAAGAACTTCTGGTCCTTACAGCGTTCTACCTTATTCTGAGATTCACAGAGTGCTCTTGGATTTACCTTTCCCAGAACTTTTGTTCCAACCACAGCATTGTCAGGAAAGCAATTTGTGTGGAAGAGAAATCATTAAAACGGCCACTTACTATGTTCAATGTCTTGCAAAATTACAGAAGCTAACTCCCAAACCCATCCTACACCAACCACTCCCACACATTAAATCTATGGAAATTCAAGGTGCTAAAAGTGAGCATTTTCCTGTGCATCTAAATTACGTGAAGTGTTGAGGAGTCCAGATAGTCAGGCAAATTCTCTGATTTATCTTTTTGTTGAGCGGATGACCTTGAACTTTGGGCCCTTCTGCCTCCACCTCCTGAGTGCTGGTATTATAGGTGTGTGCACCCATGCCTGGTTTATGTGATACTGGGGACTGAATGTGGAAGCTTCCCGAAGGTCTTAGTTTATTTTCTGATCTTGTTATAAAGATCATGACCAAAAGCAACCTGGGGAGGAAGGGGCTATTTGGCTTTCATATTCCAGGTCATAGAACACTGAAGGAGGCCAGATCAGACACTGAAGGCAAGAACCTGGAAGCAGAAACAATGGAGGGATGCTGCTTCCTGGCTTAGTCAGCCTGCTATCTTATCTTACCATCTGCCCAGGGGTGGACACCACCCACAGTAGGCTGGGTCCTTCCACATAAATCATCAATCAAGGGCTGGGAGAGATGGCTCAGCGGTGAAGGGCACTGACTGCTCTTCCAGAGGACCCAGGTTCAATTCCCAGCAACCACATGGCAGATCACAACTGTCTGTAACTCCAAGATCTGACACCACCACACAGACACACACAGACAGGCAAACACAACGATGCACATAAAATTTTAAAAATAAAATAAAAAAAAAAATCATCCATCAAGAAAATGTCCCCCCCACAGGCTTGCTTACAGGCCGGGAAGCAACTTGCGAATTAGCTAGCTCACTAGGCAAGTACTCTCTACCTGACGAGCTACATCCTCAGTCCTCTGACTATCGAGAGAACAGTTCGTAAGCTGCATTGCTCATCTCTAGGATCTAATTAGGGTTAAATTTCACAACTGTGGTGAAAATAAGTATTCACCAGCATGTGCCTTTTTGTGTGCTATTTCCTCTGCCTCTCAGGCTTGACCCTGTCTTTGCCTATAAGTTACGCCCAAACTCTTGGTCACATTATATCCCGATTTCCCTTGCTAAAAGTTCTCTCTCTTATTTATTTATTTATTTATTTATTTATTTATTTATTTATTTATTTACTCTTTCTTTCTTTCTTTCTTTCTTTCTTTCTTTCTTTCTTTCTTTCTTTCTTTCTTTCTTTCTTTCTTTCCTTCCTTCTGTTTGAGACAGGTTTCTCTGTGTAGCCCTGGCTGTCCTGGAACTCAATTTGTAGACCAGGTTGACCTCGAACTCACAGAGATCCTCCTGTCTCTGCCTCCTGAGTGCTGGGATTAAAGGTGTGTGCCACAACCAGCTCTTTCCTTCTTTCTTTTTGACACAGAGTTGCACTAGTTAGCTCAAGCTGGCCTTAAAAAAAAATCACAATTCCTTCTCCCTCAGACTCCCAAGTACTGGGATTACATCCCTGCCTCATCCGCCCCTCTCTTGATATTACTTCATGTTTAAAGCCATTTGTGTCCTTGTTTCTCTGATTAAGAAGAAAACTTTTTAGAGGAGATTTAGGGGCTGGGCACAATGACATATGTCCTTAATCTTAGTGCTGGGGAGGCAGAGGCAGGTGGATCTCTGTGAATTTGAGGTCTGCCTGGTCTATATAGCAAGTTCCAGGACAGCCAGGACTACACAGAGAGAGACTCTGTCTCAAAACAAACAAGCAAACAGAAAATGAGATCTAGGGGCTGGGGGTAATGTAGCCCAGTAGGTAGAGTGCTCACCTAGCATGCAGGAAAGCCTGGCTTCAATGTCTAACACTGCAAATAAGCCAGGTGTGATGACGGACGTCCTCTTCCTTGGGAGGTGAGGGCAGGAGTTCTTGGCTACACAGTGAGCCTGGGCTATGTGAGACCCTGAGGGAAGGAATAAAAGGTCTAAGTATGTATACTTGTATGAGAAAGAGAGAGAGAGAGAAAGACCAGATCTAAATATGTAGGTTTGGACATATTCATGTCCTTTGAAAAATGTAATGCTTTAATGCTTGACATGGCATACAGTAAGTGTTTAATAAATATGCATTGAATAAGCCAATTATACATAGATGACTACTCCATATTTCCTGAGGTTTGGGGTGGGCACTGAGATGGAACCCAAGGATCTACGCGGGCTAGACAAGATGTCTACCACTGAACTACAGCCTCAGCTTTTTCCACTTTTTATTTTGATACAAGGTCTTGAAGGGAATCCTCCTGCTTCAGACTGCTGAATCACTGGGATTACAGGCCTGGGTTACTATACCCTGAAATTTTATTATATTATTTTTATAGGTTTTAAAGAGATGTATGTTTGATATTTTAAAAAATTATGTGTATGTGAGTGTGGGGGTATATGCACATGAGTGCAGTGTTGTGGAGACCTGAGCATTGAACACTCTGGAGATGGAGTTACAGGCAGTTGTGAGCCACCCTAAGTAGGTGCTAGGAATTGAACTTGGGTCCTTATGCTCTTAAATACTGAGCCATCTCTCCAGCCCCTGCAGTTATATTTTTAAATCTAGTTTCTACACATCTTGTGACTCTCATGAGGGTCAAAGGGATTGAATTCAGGTCTTCAGGCTTGGCAGCAAGTGTCTTTACCCACTGAGCTATTTGATAGGCCCAACAGTGTATTGTTTGAGGTCAGACAGACATGAACACGTAACCCACACTTACCTGGTTGGTTGTTTCTGCCTGAACTGGATATTCTTGAAGCATATGACTTGGACAAATCAGGTCTAGAAGGCATTTGTAACTTCCCTATAGTAATAGGTAGAAAAACAACATTACTATATACATTCTAATTCATTGCATAGTGCTTTTTCTTCCTTACCTATTTTTCCTTATTTAGCTATCTTGTCAGTCTTTTAGGCAGGACTAGCATTTTTATCTTAATTAGACAATTATACATCATGACACACTAATTTGTTAACCTATGTTCACAAATCATTTAATTACCACCGCTGGCTTTGATGTGTTGTTATTATTCAGTTATGGGAGTAAACAATTCAACAGCTAACAGGAGGAAACTCATTATTTTCGGAGATATATTGTTATTTTCAATGTTTTAAAAACACTTTAATCAAAACTTAAAAAATACTTTAATCAAGACTGAAAAAAAAATTCACATCGTTCTTCTAACAGCAGTTTTAACGTGGACAGTTATTTGGGCATATCTAACTCTCCATTTCACGTTCTTATTCTTTTCACAATAAATAGGATTCCTGTGTGATACACATGTGTTTTTGCATGTGGATACACATGTGTGGGGAGACCAGAGGTCCACGTCTGGTGTCTTCCTCAATTGCTTCTTTTATTTATTTATTTATTTACTTTGGTTTTTCGAGACAGGCTTTCTCTGTGTAGTTTTGATGCCTGTCCTGGATTTCTCTCTGTAGAGATGCGTCTGGTTCTGCCTCCCTGGTGCTGGGATTAAAGGCGTACGCCACTGCTGCCCGGCTTCTCAATTGCTCCTTTGCAATGTATTTTGGAGACTGGATCTCCCACGGAACCGAGAGCTCGTCTATTGACTAGGCTAAACTAGCTGAGCTCTGGGGATCCTCCTGTCTCGACCTCTTTAGCCCTGGGACCACAGGTGTAGCACAGCCCCTGGTTTCTCATATGCTGAGCATCCAAACCCAGGTCCTGATGCTTGCATAGCAAGCCTTTTACAGCCTGAACCATCTCCCCAGCCCTCGAATAGGGTTCCTAAAGAAAGAGAGAAAGAAAAAAAAAAAAGGATAATTTTAAATCTTCATGTCAATTTCCTCTCTCCTATGATGATATAATTTATAAAATTCAGCTTCTAATGTTGATTGGTGAGCTGGAAAGGTGACTCAGAGGATAAGGACACTTGCTGCCAGGCCTAGTGACCTGAGTTTGACCCCCAAGACCCATATGGTAGAAGGAGAGAACCGACCCCTACAGGTTGTCCTCTGACCTCCACACCTATGCTGCGATTGCACATGCGCCCCCCTCCACTCCCCCAACAAGGTACCTTGACTGATGAAGCTCTTGGCTGGCTAGAGATGAGAAGGGCCATCTTCTTCTCGTTGGCTGAGGTTAACATACCCTGGCTCAGATTTCCTTGACCTTCTAGAACTCTCTGTTCTAGTTGGTGAGTGCCCCAGGCCACAGTGGCGTCCCTCAAGCTGTAGGTCCCTTTGAGTTCTTCACTTGGGTCTTTGATGAAGAAAACCAAGCCTCCAGGTGCAAATTCCCAGCAGGTTCGCGGCGAACCGTTCCTGCCGGTAGTTTGCGTGAGGATTGATAATATCATTATGCACTGGTGTGCAAACATCAAGATTGCTGGAGGGAATTAAATCCCCACTTTCCCTGCACACCCCCACCAATAGGGAACTATTGAGGTTATTTTTGAGAATGACAGAGCCTTTCCAGTCCCTTGGTGAGCTTGGTTTTGGGGGGAGCTAGGATACTGGAAAGTTGTCATCCACTAAAGTTACTCCAAGCGAGTGGCATTCGGGTTCTTGTCTTGTGAATTCAAAGGATGAAGTTTACAAACCATGGAGGGTGAGTTTCAGAGAGAAGTTTATTATGGGTTCATCGGTGTCTTAAGTGGGAGAGAAGGAGGAAGAGAGTGTGTGAAAACTTACTTCTTGGACTGTCTTGTGTACAAAACTTTTGAAATGGCAGTTGTAAAGTTTCTGCTTTTATGTTGTTTAGCCACTTACCGTTATGTGCTGTCTTCAAGGACAAAGATATCTTCCTTTGTGTCTCTCTTTCTGTGTCTCTGAGTCCCCTCCATTCCACCCCCCAGCCCCGCTCTCTGAATTGACCCCAGGTCCTCATCCACGCTAGGCAAGCAGTCTACCACTGCGCCATAGCCCCCCCCCCCCCAACAATCGTCTTTTCCATCTTTCTTCTTAGTCTTAGCGTGGCACCTTTCGTCCTTTAATAGAGGTCTGTTGAAGGAATCCGTAAAGGGATAAAGGGAAGTTACGGTACCGTAGTTAGGAGCACGTTTTTAGTTCCTTTCTTTTATGCAGCCCTTATCTCGTTTCCTTAGGGTCCTGCTGAGCGAGCAATCTGCCCTCCCTGCTCACTTGTGCTGTCCTCGTCCTCGGTGGCAGGGCTGTGTGTGCCTTAGTCATTGTGTGGCCAAGTGCTTCGCACAGTCCGGGGCATGATGTAGGCATCCATCCACGTGTGCTGACTTGAAAGTATGTGAATAACATTCATTGTGTGGCTGAGCTCCCTGTTGGTTCTTTTCATAGGATTTTTTTCCCTCATTAACAAGAGGACCCATTGTCTTTGCTGAGCATAGGAAAGTGAAGGAATGCCTTGTTTCCCATGGCCGTGAAATCTGCGATCTGTGGGAAGTTAGATGGAGTAGGCACGGTGGGTCCTTTCCCAGCCTGGACCACCAGGCCCTCTTCCCCTCACCCATATACTTTCAGGCAAGGACTCTGTGGTAGAAATTCATATCAAGGTGTTGATTAGCTATTAAAATGAGGATGCCCTAGGCTCCTTGTATGTGCTACTTTTAACTAGGGGGATCTGTCTTTCTTGGGAGGGGACCGTTTTACTCTGCTTCAAGGCAGAGTTCACATCTCCACAATTCAAGTCTTGTTTCTAGACATCACGTCAAGAGCAAGTGCCATCTCACTGCCTCTGGCTGCCAGGATCTGCTTGCTGGACTTCCATCCCATCTTCATAGTTATCTTTACTTCGCAGAGAAATCAATTCCCCCAAAGAAATGCTTCTTGGAAACGTAATGATGGGATGATGGTGTGTGTCTGTATGCCCAGCACTCGGGAGGTAGAGCCAGGGGGATCAGGAGTTCAAGGCTGTCTTTGGCTACACAACAAGCTTGAGACCAGCCTAGACTATATGACCTTCTGTGAGGTACAGTCAGGAGAATCAGGAGTTCAAGGCTGTCCTTGGCTACATGGCAAGCTTGAGACCAGCCTAGGCTACATGATACTCTGTCTCAAGGAAAGAAAAAGAAAGAAAGGTATCTCTCCAGCTGGACATGTAATTCTAGAACTCAAGAGGCGAAAACAAGAATATGTTAAGTGTAAGGCCATCCTGGGCTATATAGTGAGTTGGAGACTAGCCTGGACTACATAGGGAAACTATATCTCATAAAATCAAAACAGTATCCTGTTGCCAAAAGAGGATTCTAAACTGGGCAGTGGTGGCGCATGCCTTTAATCCCAGCACTTGGGAGGCAGAGGCAGGCTGATCTCTGTGAGTTCGAGACCAGCCTGGTCTACATAGGGAGTTCCAGTAAAGGCTCCAAAGCTCATCTTGTTCCTTCCCTTTCCCCATGAATATAATGTGACCAGAGTGCTCTCCCATCTACTCTCTCTAAGACTGGTTCCTTAAGTACCAGGCCTCCTCAAGTCCATCTGCTTTTGGTTGACACCACCCCCCCTTTCCCAAGACAAGATGTCATACAGCCTAGGCTAGCCTCAAACTCGATATGGAGCTGAGTCTGGCCTTGAACTCCTGATGTTCCTGCCTCTGGGATTACAGGATTATCGGATTACAGGCACGCACCGCTACACTTGGCTTTACCGCCTATGGTAGTCTGAATGAGAAATGTCCCCCATAGGTTTGGATCATTGAAGACTTGACCTCCTACCCCAGTTGGTGGCACTGTTTGGGGGGTTTAGGAACTGCAAGATTGCTGGAGAAAATATGTCCCTGGAGGGTAGTGGTGGGGGTTTGAGACTTTAAAGCCCTAAGGCCACTTCTAATTCACTTTCTCTGCTTTGAGCTTACAATTTGTAGGTGAGAGGTCTCAGCTTCTTGCTCCGGCTACCAAGCCAGCTACCGCTGCCATACCTGCCACCTACTGTCACGCCTCCCTGACGTGATGGACTTTTACCCGTCTGGAACCACAAGCCAAGATAAACTCTTTTTGCCCCCCAAAAGTTGCTTTTGGTCATAGTGTTTTGCCATAGAAACAGAGCTGAAATCTCCACTAGACCAGTGTGGCTTGAACTTGCTTTTCACGCTAGCAGGGAGAAATGAGCTCATGGACCGAACCTAGGTCCCGTCACCTCAGATGGTGACATGAACCTCATCCCTTTTTTCTAGCCCTGGCTTTCCCCCACATACTCTTTTCCTCTGGATAAACCATTTCCATACTCTGAGGCTCGGTTTCCCTATCTTGGCAATATCTATCTAAAAATCACTGCCGTGTCTAAACATTGCATAGTTCAAGTCAATTTGAAATGTCAGTTTTAGGTTCTATGTTTAAGAAAGACCTCAACTGAAAAACTAAACAAAAACCTCGGCTAGCAGGTCAGTAGGGACACGAGGCCACTTTTCACCTGTGAGTCTTTCATTCATCATTATCTTCCTTGATTATCTTAGGTTTGGTGCAGGCCCTGGGCTGACGGAGCCATCCAGCTGCATAACTCTGCCTCTTCTGGGTGATCAGGAAATACAGGAAGAGGCAAATCCCAGCTGAGGCAGACGGAAGTCTTAATTAATGCAGAAGTGACTGCTGGCAGGCCATCAGAAGGCCTTGTCCAGGTTTGTTGAGTGTAGCTGGAGGCCGTGGATGGAGGCAGGAAAGGTGCAGGATACAGGATACAGGGGACAGTGGCCACCGCCGTATGCTTGATTCAAGGATGTGGTGACTAGAACATCTTGTCCTTGCTAATGAAGCATGGAGCACTGTTTTTGTTTTGTGCGTGTGTGTGTGTGTGTGTGTGTGTGTGTGTGTGTGTGTGTGTGTGTGTGTGAAAGCAGAATTAGTTATAATAGATGAACTTGGACATGTTGTCTTTTCAGAATGAGGGGGCAGAAATGATTGGAAAAGGACACTGGGGTGCTAGTCAGCTTTGGGAAAGGAGACCAGACCTAGGATTCACCTAACTTCCTGGAACAACTATCCCAGAATTGGAGTTCTGACACAGGCTGTTAAGATGTAATAAAACATCCATACCTTCCCAGATGGTGACCCAGGTTGGCCTTGAACTTGTGACTGAGGGTGATCTTGAATTTCTGATCCTTCTGCCTTCACCTCTTGTATACTGGGATCAGAGACATCCACTACCATGTCTCCTTTATGTGGTGCTGGGGAGGATACCCAGGGCTTCCTGACAGCTGGAGAGGCATTGTACTGACTCAGCTTCATTCCTAGCCACCAGATGATTGCTCTTAACGAGCAGTCGTGTCTCAGAGGCATGTCATAGTCATTCCTGGGAAGCTCATAGCCCCACTCTCCACTGCGGGAAGTGACTTCCTAAGGGTGACTTCAGAAGGTGACGTGTAGACAGGAAAGTGCTTTCAGCAGCCAAAGAAAGGATTGAAAGAGGAAACGAGAGAGAGAGAGAGAGAGAGAGAGAGAGAGAGAGAGAGAGAGAGAGAGAGAGAGAGAGGTTTTTGAGTGACAGTGTCTTACTCTGTTGTCAGGCCTTTTTTTTTTTTAAACCTCAAGATCCTCCTGCCTGTCTTCAGAATCCTGGGATTACAGGCTTGTCCTACGACACTTGGCTCAGTCCTTGCTTCTAATCAGAGTGTCTCAGCCACTTCTCCTTTCCTTTCTTTCCTTTTTCCTTTTTCATCTATTAGTGTGTATGTGTACGTGCACAGATACACAGCACATGCACGGAGGTCGGATAAGGACACCAGGGGATCACACTCAGGTTGTGAGACTTGACAGCAAGCACCTTTACCTGCTGAGTCGTCTTGCCCACTCGCAACCATTTCTTTATTACACCAATCTATCTGTAAATCTATTACACGAATCTATCTATAAATGAAAAGGCTTACACAAACTACACTGCTCTCTAAGGGTTAACTGAATTACTAACTCTGACAAAAGAGATGTGTTGCCCACATTACTATGGAAGGAGAAGCATTTGACCATTTTTATGCCATTACCTAAATGAGGCCAAAAAACAAAAACAAAACAACAAAACAAAACAATACAAAAAAACCCCCTCACTTTGCTATCATGGTTTGAAAGTTGACAACTTTCAACATTAATGAACACTAGACATGATAGTGTGTTCAAAGGAGGAGACATCTTCTGACCACCTCTTTTGACCTGCTCAGGCTTTAGGCATGTGCATGGTGCACAGACATACATGAAGGAAAAACACCCATATACGTAAAAATTCTAGCTCTTCCAGAGGACCTGAGTTCAATTCTCAAAGGGGCAGACAGGAGATTGCAAGTTAGAGGGTAGCCTGAGTTACGTAATGAGTTCAAGGCCAGCCTGATCAGAGTGAAATCTAATCTTAAAACACAAACAAACAAAAAACAACAAAAATGCAAAAACAAGACAAACAACAGCAAATACAAAAACTAGGGCTGTAAATGTAGCAGAGTAGTTAACACCAAGAATCCACCAGTGAGAGGTTGGGGCTATGACTCAGTAGTAGAGCACGTGCTTAGAATTCCCCAGTGAAAGACTCTGGGTGTGGCTCATCAGTAGAGTGCTTGCCTAGAATCGCCCACTGAGGGGCTGGAGACATGGCTAAGTGGTAGAGCACCTGCCTAGAACTCCCCAGTGAGGGACTGCATGTATGACTCAGCAGTAGTGTGCCTATCTAGAATCCCCCAGTGAGGGGCTGAGAGTGTGGCTCAGTGGTAGAACATGCATGGGCACAAGACCAATGGTTTTATTCCTAGCATTGCAAATCCAGCCAAACCAAATAACACGGAACACAGACCACGAATCTTAGCAGCCAGCTTATGTCAGAGTGATGATGGTACAGTTCAGACAGTT